CTCAATTGTGCGTCGACGGCTTCTGAGAAAGCCATCGATACAATCTGAGATCCACTGTCTAGGATGCAGTCCGCGTCGAGACGCGCGTTAATCCGTCCGTTTATCGTTCTGAGAGCAGCCGACGAATCACCAACATAGACATGTCTTGGGTTCTCATTAGAGGGTATCGACTCCAAGTACATCTCATATGGATCCGTCGCGACAACTGCGCCAATGGGAATTTCTCCTTCAACTGTGTTATGATAGAACACAGGCTCGGGCAATTCCTTAGCACTGACTAGGTTGTAGCTCAGTTCTCCATCCCAAACGTCTTCAACGACGCGACCAGTTTCTTGAAGCATGGACTTCTGAACCGGTACTCGTTTCTTCGAGGAGTCCTTCAGAATGGAGTCGCGGACAGTCCCCGAAACTGCTAGGAGTTCACCCACAGTGACGTCGACTGACGCGTTTTTCATTTTGTTGTAGACTGCTTCTGCCACAGCCTTCTTTTGAATCGGTGCACGCAACTGGTATTTATCTGGAACGCGCGCTTTTGAAGAATGTACTGGTTCTTGTAGAACGGGCTTGACTTTCTCAAACGGTAGTTCCTTTCTCTTTCCGGTGTTGTCGCGCACTGATTCCTCATCATCGTCGCTATCACTAACTTCTTCAATAGTCACAGGTTTTCTCGGTTTCTCTCGTTGCTCAGCTCGTTTATCATGGTCCTCAGAGGGCTTGGCTGAGTTTGTGGGTTTAGCCCCCTTCCTTGAACCATTTAGAAACCCGAGTTGTTATCGTCGCGCTCAGGTTGGCTATTCGCACCACGACGGGTTTGAATGAACTGCTCCTGAGTCTGAGGATAACCACTGTTCATGTTGTTGAAGTAGCCGGCCATGGCGTCGGTCATGGCTTTCTGCATGAACTGGCCCACGGCACTTTCCATTGCATTACTGGTTGAACCAGATGCAGTTCTTTGAGTCTTTGGCTCAGCGCGACTCTCTGGGGTTGGCCGCGACGACTTCCTCTCATATTGGATGAGTTGACTTCGAAGGGAGCGTATCTCATCTGCCACTTCTTCAGGGTAGTCGGACATATCATCATTGTCGCGGCTATCGAACTGATCCAAGTAGTAGGAGTCTTGGAAATTGACGGACTTGCCCTTCTTCTTCCAATAAGCCTCTACTCGTTGTCCCTGAGTACCTTCTCCATTTGGTAGGAAGCTGTCGTCGAAGAGCCTCCACATCCCTTTGGTGTCGACTTTGAGAAGGTTTTTCTCAATGTGAGACCTCTTGAGTGGGCACTCGTTCGACCAATGACCAGTTTGTCCACAGTAGCGACAGTCGTCGTTCCGTGCGGCAGCTCCTCCTTGTGCGCGACTTTCAAAGTGGGGCACAGAAGAGTTGTTGCCTACTGGCCGCGACCGCTGTATAGGCGCTTTGCGAGCAGTCTGTACGAACGTCTTCAGCGCTTCCTGCAACTGAGTCTGTAGCTCTTTTTGGTGTAGAAGAAATGAGTCCTTCAAGTTGGAAATCGAGTTTTCCAACTCCTCAACCTTAGCATGGTTGGGTGGACTAGTATCATAGTCGAAGCGAACCTTAGGAGGTCGCGCGATTATGGGAATTTCGTCTTCGTTGCTCAACGTCGACGCCATTTCTTCCGCCATCGTCATTAATTCTTTCAGCTGGATGGGGTCGTCCTGCCGATTGACTCCAGTCGCGGGGACATTAGCGTTTGCTATCCCGGCGCGAGTTTGATAGCGCTTATTGAATACTTGACTCGTAGCCAAAGCGTTCCTCAAGACGGTACTGAACTCAGAGTCCAAAGTACGCATGTAGCGTTCACACGCGACTTTGTTGGTAATAATGGCAGGAGGGACTGACAGTCGCTTGTAGTGACTATACATTTGAAGGCCGAAACGCTTCAAATCTCCTTCATCCGTTATTTTGATTCCACGGTTCTCGCGACAGAGTCTATCTAGATCCGCCATGGTCCCCGTTTTTCGCTTGGACACCTCAGGGTATCCTTTTAATATTTCGGCCTCGAACTCCGCGACAGTTTTCGTGTCGTCGGAATAGGTATCGAGACCTTCCCATACGTCCATTACTTGCCGCGACGGCAGGTAACGAATGTACATGCTTTTTGCTTGTTTGGCATCTGTGATGCCACCATCCTCCACGATCTGCGCGCAGTGACGCAAATATGCCTCAATCGACAGGGGATCCTTTTCATCAAGTATAGGTCTACTTGTGTCCCAAGGTTGGGGGATTTTGAACCCAGTCTTTGGAGCCATAGTTGTCGCGACTGAAGTCACAGGGGAAGTAGGGATGTTGTTAGAATTCGTGTTTGTAGCGGTGACGCTACTAGACAATTCTGAGAGGGTTTGTGAGCTAGTCTGAGATCGACTGATTGTCGTCGAACTCGAAGTAGCCGCGTCTAAAGCTGGAAGCTTCGACGTCGAATTCACTCTTTGTTTTCCTTTTGCCTTGGAAGGCAAGGGTGGTAGATACAAAGGTGTTTTATGTCTTGCAGACCTTCGTGGTTTTTCGAAAGGTCCTGAGGTTGAAGCGTTTCCTTCAGTCTCAATCTCCGCTTGGTCCTCAAGAGGTCGCGCAGGAGCTTGGGATCGGAATAAACTGCTTCGCGGGATAAACCCTTGGTCTCTATCCGACGTCGCGGTAAAGAATCCGGTTTATTGATTTTTAAAGTTTATGAAACTTTAGAAGCCCCTCGCGGTGGGCTCCAGATGAAATGCTGAGGGCGTACTCACAAGTGAATCTACTATGAAAGTAAACCCAAATATAAACACGTTCACACTCCTCGTAATCAGCTTCTCAGTGTGTGAAAGATGCGAGGGCTTCGGGGTGGACAGAACACCAGTATCACAACTCTCAATAGATGCAGATCCAATAGTCGCGGAGACGGAGTCGACAACAAGGATATATATATATAGCAAACAGTGGTGTCTCAACCAATATCTTCTATACAAACACAACCAACACTAATCCAATCCACAACCAACAATATAACAAGTCAGAACTTAATACGAAGTATTAAGATCCCTTGTAGCGACAGCGTCCAGATGGTGACGCAAAGCCCAAATATCAAGTCGACGCACTGCCAACTGATACAACCAATATACTGAGTCGACGCACTGCCAACTAGTAGAACCAGAATGTCAAGTCGACGCACTGCCAACTGACACAACCAAAAGTACTGAGTCGACGCACTGCCAACTAGTAAACCAAAATGCCGCGTCGACGCACTGCCAACTAACAGCCAATATCCAATGTCCAAAACCCGAGCACAACTTGTCGACGCACTGCCAAGCAAGAAGTGTGGAACCAAAGTTCTCAAGTCGACGCACTGCCAAGCTAGAGGTGTGGAACGATCTCAACAAAGCCCTAAGGCGACGACACTAAATGCCGCGACAATACCAGATGCGGCGAATCCGACTTTCTGATGTCTCAACTCAAACTCAAATCACAGTAGCTACAAGTGCTCAGGGAGCAACTCGTCGCGACTGGGCAGGGATGGCAGAACTTCTTAGGGTGGAATCACGCGGCACGCAAATTGTACAAAACAATCTGAAATGATAGTGATTCACAGTCCGGGGGAAAGCTTCCTAATACAAAGAAACGTCGTGCTACTTATACTGTCTACGACGATGCTTAGTAAAGTCCTGTACAACTGCATAGTAGCTACGCTATCTAAGATCGGTTGCCTTTTAGGGTAATTGAAAGTTGAACGATCGGACAGGTCCTGAGTGATCAGGACCCCGCCCCATAGTCCATATGATACTTTTGATGTGGGTCAACCCACCGCGTCATACTTTTGGAATACGACGTGCTGGATTGGCCAACGGGTATGTCTTGGCATGTGAGACCAACGTGGGCCCCCCAAGAAGCCGTATGGCCCTAGGCACGCCAGTCGTCCCCCACATGGTTCGGCTCACGGATCTAGCCGTGTCGATTTCTAGTGTGTTTGGGTGTTGACGCGAATCGCCGTGGCACTTGGGAGTGTCACCGCGACGCGTCCTCAATGTCCCGTGATCGAATGGATCCTGACATGTGACAAGTCGTCGTCGTGGCATGATCTGAGGAAACGTCCAACTCAGAACCGGGAGTTGCCGCGACAAGATGGTTTAAGTCTCGTAACGCCAAGTCCTGTCCAGTAGTAGTTCTATTATTGAGAACGTCGCGCATTGCTCAGCCCTTCAGCCCAAGTTCCCATCTGCAGAGAATGACCCTTTTCGAGAAGTCGACGCAACGACAGATCCCTTTTTGGGGGAATGGTCGCGGTCCAAGCGTTCGTCACTAATGGCCCTGAGCCTGGTGTAGACTCATAAGACCAATTCCACAGTAGTGATCTGACTGCCTTGCTATCGTCGACACTATCCACAGTCGTCGACTGGGCAGTAGACCCATAAGTCCTACTGAGCGCAACACTGTCAACCGCGACACGATACACCGAGTGATTCAAGAGTAAACTCTGTAAAAGCGCAAAAATACGCCCTTACAGAGTTGGTGCAGAGCGTGTCTGGTAGCCAGCCTATCAACGTACTCGTTGTATCATGTCAGCAAATGAATCCGCAGCCGTGCCTCCATCATCGACAAATATCTCCATTACCATGGAGGATGTCAGGTCGTGCACCTTCTCTGCCACTGTGTCGCCAAACTCGGTCGGACAGTCCGTTGCTCCGAACGGCATGCGCGTGTATGCGTGGTATCCTCAGCCAGGAACAAAGATGCACAGGTAAGGTTGGGCTTTCTCCTCAACCTCTAGGGCAAAGAACCCGGACGTGAAGTCGAACGTGGATACATATCGGTGGCCGGCCAGCCGGCGTTGCTTGTCTCGGATATCTCCTTGTGGGAACGGGACAACTTTGCAGACCCTGTTGATCTCGGCGAAGTTGTGGCAGACTCGCCAACGAACTGGCTTCCCACGTCGGCTGGTGTTGTCCTGCGCCTGTTGGGCAGGAAGTCCTTCTAGCGAGGGTAATCCCGCGTCAACGCACTGGTCGTTTAACTGATGCAGCAACTCCGTCAAGCAGATACCATCTGGTTGGTCCTTCGGCGCCATTGTGATTGGGCTCACACACCGAACGTCCTTGGCATCAATGCGTCTGAGGATGCCAGCAGCAACTAATTCGTCGACTTGCTTCGTAAGGAACGCAAGTTGTGGCGGCGACATTGGGCGCTGATTCACGGTCTTGGTGCCAAAGTCATGGCCTTTGGGGATTTTCGGGGAGTATTTCCGACCGGGCACTGCTTTCACTTCGCTGACCGCCAGCGCAAAGATGTCCGTGTACTCCTTAACCAGTGCACGGGCGGTCTCCCTTTCTGTTGTGGACACATCCAGCCCAATCTCGACAAGTTCGACGATTTTCTGGACCCTCTCTGTCATGAATGGGTTTGTGAGGCGTGTGAACAGGGTCTTTTCGTCCGGGCTCGCTTCGAGCACAAATGCATCAGCACTGCTCACAGGGGTTATGGTTGGTGGGACTCGCCTCGCGGGGGTGACCGCGTATGACTCGACCCCCTCGAAGGCCACATGCGTCTCAGACACGGGCAGGTTTGCGTAGCACTCTTTGTTTCCTTCTCGCCTATTGCGCCCTTCGCCGTTGCCATGGATAGGGTAATCAGCTATCCACCAACGCGGAAGGATATCAAGCAAGACTCGCCTCGCGGGGGAGATTGCGGACAAGTCATCCCCCGTTGCGGCTAGCCGCGGTGCCATGGGCTCTCCTCTCTCCTCTGCTTTCCCGCCCCTCGTCTCTATACCCACATCCCTGGTTCCAGCATCATTCATGGCTTCTAGACCAGCGTCCCTGTTCCCGTTCTCTTCCTCGTAAAGGTTGTCAGCTGCCCTCGAACACAATGAGCAAGCAGCTTGTACTCCCCTCGCGGTGACGGACTGGCCTATCTATCCGACAAGTCCTGACGTGTGGCAGTGCATGTCAATCAGCAATCAGTGGGCGCACGCTTCGCACACAACTGAGGGTCTCCTCAATATTCCTCAGCCCTGGCTATTCACTGGTTCGTCCAGCCCTGCATATATTTTTGATATTCACATCCCTGGACTGCTGTCTGCACATTTATCTCTACACCCCTGCCTTTCTTACTTCACCATCCACTTGTACCTGTTTTTCCCCTCTCACTTCCCTGGTTCCTCTGTTCACCGTCCCTTGCTCCATCCTGTCGATATTTCACCCACTCTGATGATTATTTCATTGTCTCACATACAAAAGCTTGTAGTTGGACAAAAGAAAAATAGATTTATTCTCCTCATAGTCTTGAGTTCAGTCCTCGTCTTCAGCTCGTTTCTACTTGGGTATTTCGACCCTCTGCTTCGTCGCATCCGTCCCACGCCGCCCTCGACTTCGTCCCACGTCTAAAATCATCATTTCTTACTGCCTGCCACGGCACTGAATCTTGTGGACCTCCTCGCACATCACACTTATTCCTGCACTGTTTTAGGTCGTAGCTGACCCCCATTTTGTGTTAGCTCGCGCCTATTCCGTCCGCAGGCACGTCATTTTGGAGCCCACCGCGAGGGGATTTCAACATAGATTCTGGTGCCTCTCGCAGTCTGCGACACAACAATCATTCTGAGCTACGTCGCACGCTCCGTGAAGAGCTAGCTGTTGCTCTCAACGACCCCACAACTCTCTCTTTCGACGACGAACACCTCTTTGACATTGTCCCCAGCGCCCTTGCACAACACAACAACCTCTCACCGCATTCCCCGAGCTCTCCAACGCTATCCTGGCTCTTTGATTCGCCTCCAACAACGCGTTCACCATCCCCCCTTCACAACACGAATATTCCTTCTCAAAATATGGCTACTCCCACTCCCATGCCAGCCAGAGGCGATCGAAACGCCCCAGTCTTTGATTCGTCCAAGCCCCACGAGTTGCGCCGTTATTTCCTCGATCTGGAGTTCCTTCTAGCTCGATCTGCCGTCACTGACACTGCCCAAATGAAGGGGCATGCGGTCAGATTCCTTTCCGTCGAAGATCAGGAGATTTGGGAAGGTCTACCGTCATTCTCAGACGCCAACAAATTGTACCACGACTTCAAATTGGACGCCCTCAGCCTCTACGCAGGGAACGACACAGATCGTCGTTTCAGCCTCGACGATTTGGACATGCTCGTTGGGCAGACATCTCGCATGGGAATCCACACAAAGGACGACCTCACACAATTTTATCGACGATTCCTACACATCACAACATTCCTGATTAGCAAACAACGACTCTCTGTGGCAGAACAGAGCCGATTTTTCCTTCGAGCTATGAATCCAGCCTCGTTGTCCGTCTCAGTTCGCCAGAGACTTCAGATCAAGAAGCCAGACGTTCACCCTGAGGATCCATATGATTTGTCAGATCTGTACGACGCTGCTAAATTCGTCCTTTCAGGATCATCGACCTTACTTCCTGGAATGCCCACGTCTCAGCCCGGAACCGAGCTCACAATCAAATCAGACCCTGGAATTACTGCACTAGTTTCATCCGTCTCAGATCTAGTTCGAATAATCGCTGCTCAACACGCCAATCCTGGTGCCCCAGCACAATCACAGTCCGCCAACGCCCTGCCCCGCCGTCGCCGTCCTGATGGCTGCAGTTATTGCAGTGATCTCGAGCATTTTATCAGCCAATGTCCCCACGTTTCGACAGATATTCGAGACGGAAAATGCCGCCGCAATGTGGATGGGAAAGTCGTCCTCCCCTCAGGCGCATATGTGCCAAATATTGTCCAAGGAAAGGATCTTCGAGAGCGCATTCAGAAGTGGCATGAAGCGAACCCAGGTCAGGCAGCAGCTCCGCAGATGATTTTGGAAGTTTCTCACCAGAATTTGCTGTCTTCTGCGGCGCCTGGGCTCGTTCAAACGTTCAAACTCACGGACGAAGAACGAATGGCAGTTCTGACGGCTGAAATTAATCAACTACGCACACGGGCCCAAGCTAAACGCGCTATGGAAGTTGCTAATCAACCAGAAGTCCCTGAACGCACTATTCCACCGGCGGTAGCGCGAAATCCAGTCGTTCCACCTGTTCCAATCGAAACCGTCCCTCCTGCGACCGCCCCTGCTGCTCCAGTTGCCCCGCCTCAACCCCCAATCCATCCGTACGCCGCAGCTCGTGATGGCGCTTACGCACCGCCCAAAGAACGAAATGTTGGAATTCCAGCGCAGAAATCACAACCCCCACGCTCTTCGGCTCCGATCTACAACCCCAAAGATGCTGCAGCTGTTTTCGACGCCATTTTGGACATCCCTGTCACCCAGACGCTTCGCCAGACCCTGTCGATTGCCCCAGAAGTCCGTGCTCAATTCCGCGAAGCCACTAGTTTCCGTCGTCCCCCTGCCAAGACTGGCGAGGCAGTGCCTCAATTCCTGCATCCTGTCACTGATAGCACGCCCTACGACCTTCCATATGCTCAGGACGACTCAGATTTGGTCGAAAAAGTGCTTCAGCAGCAACGAAACGAAGATGCACGCCTTGCTTTGGCTGCGGAGCATTTTCCAGTCGCCTACAGCCAGACGTTGCCCCCAGACGCTTGGGTGGTCCCAGATAAATTCGCCGTCTACTACGATCAGACTGGAAGGTTGCCAGACAATCTAGTTGTGGCTGCCGAGTCCCTGGCCATCCGCTCGATCCTCCCAGTGATTGACAACCAGCAACAAGTGGAATGCATCGTCGACAGTGGTTCTCAGATTATTTCGATGTCCCAGGCAACCTGTCACAAGTTGGGACTTGCGTATGACCCTCGAATCGTTCTACAAATGCAATCTGCCAATGGAACAATCACACCGTCGCTTGGACTAGCCCGAAACGTCCCGGTTCGCATTGGGGACATCACATTGTACCTACAGATGCACATTCTGCGTGACGCTGCCTACGACGTGCTCCTGGGACGACCATTTGACGTTCTGACGGAAAGCGTCATTCGAAACTTTTCCAACACGGATCAAACACTCACAATCACCGATCCCAACACTGGAAAGACGGCTACTGTGCCTACTGTGCCCCGCGGATCTCCCCGTGCCCGTTCAGAGGGTTTTCGCAGCTCGAGGATTTGATTCCTGATCAAGGAGAGTACGCCTTTGTGATCGAGGCCAGCCCAGATCAACCAGAACGCTACGTATTTTCGTCCTATGCCCCCATTTCTCTCACAGACTCTCTTGCGCACATACAACATACTTATCTCTCTGCCTGTAGCAATTTATCCGCACACAGTTCGACTATTTCTCTTGCACATACAGTCGTTCAACCGGCGTTTTCCTCAGCGACCCAGGATTCAACTCCTGGTTCAAAATTCGTTCCCATATTTTCTTTGAACTCGTCTCGTACCTATCCTACTGCTACGTCTCCTTCATCTCAATTCTACCCGTCCACGTCACAATTTGCTAACAAAAAGTACAAGCCAGTGGCCAGGAAAATTCGGCCTGTTCTTGGATCTGTCCCAGACGAATTCCGCATCGAGCGCCAGATCCTGGGCGACCCACTCGCAGATCTACCATATCTGGATCCTATTCCGCCTCCTTTTGTGCCGACTGGACGCTACACCGCCGAACGCAAGGCTGCTCTTGACGACGCACACCGCGGTGACTTCCTGTGGCCTGCTGAGAGAGATTTAATGCACCAGTTCATGTGCCTTCACCAAGGAGCCTTTGCATGGCAAGAATCAGAACGAGGACGTTTTCGAACCGATTTCTTTCCCCCTGTCAATATCCCAGTCATGCCGCACACACCGTGGGTCCAGCGCAATATCCCCATTCCCCCTGGGATCTACGATCAAGTCTGCGACCTCATACGCTCGAAAATCGCTGCTGGAGTGTACGAACCGTCCAATTCATCCTATCGATCCCGTTGGTTCTGTGTGGTGAAGAAAGATGGCACCAGCCTTCGTTTGGTTCATTCCCTGGAGCCACTCAACGCCGTCACAATTCAGCACTCAGGCGTCACGCCGTTCACTGAGCAGCTGGCTGAGCATTTTGCAGGACGAGCCTGTGGTGCCGTGCTGGATTTATATGTTGGATATGACGAACGGTTGCTTGCGCCAGCCTCCCGCGACTATACAACGTTCCAGACGCCCTATGGAGCTCTCAGACTTGTTACCCTGCCCATGGGATGGACGAATTCAGTCCCCATCTTCCACGACGACGTCACCTACATCCTCCAGCCCGAAATCCCGGAATTTACTTGGCCATACATCGACGACGTCCCGGGCCGTGGCCCCAAATCGAGATATCAGCTAGAAGATGGATCATTTGAGACGATCCCTGAGAATCCAGGGATTCGCCGGTTCGTTTGGGAACATTTTGGAAATCTGAATCGAATCGTTCAGAGGATGAAGTACTGCGGAGGGACATTCTCTGGCCTCAAGCTCACACTCTGCGCCGAAACCATCACAGTTGTTGGACATGTCTGCACACCGGCTGGACGAATCCCTGATGAGAAGAGAGTCGACAAAATCGCAAATTGGGGACCCTGCAAGACGCTCTCAGAAGTCCGTGCATTTCTGGGCACCATAGGAGTCTGCCGTGCATTTATTTCGAATTTTGCGCATCGTGCCCACGCCCTGACACTTCTAACACGAAAGGATATGCCATTCCACTTCGGTACTGCACAGATCGCTGCCCAAGACGACCTGAAGCACGCATTATTGAGCTGCCCTGCGCTCCGGCCAATCGACTATTCATCTGGGGACCCAGTTATCTTATCCGTGGACACCTCTCAGATCGCCGTTGGTTTCCTGCTTGCCCAGTGCGATCCAAACACTCCCAGTCGACGTTTCTATGCCCGGTTTGGCTCAATCACGCTTAACGATCGAGAAGCTCGATTTTCACAGCCCAAGCTAGAGCTGTATGGATTATTCCGCGCCCTTCGTTCATGGAAGCTCCACCTGATCGGTCTACGAAATCTAGTGGTTGAAGTCGATGCTAGGTACATCAAGGGTATGCTACGGAACCCCGATCTTTCGCCCTCAGCCAGTATCAACCGCTGGATCCTGGCGATCTTAACCTTCCATTTCGAGCTAGTACATGTCCCTGGCGTCAAACACGGCCCGGATGGATTGTCCAGACGACCCGCACAGCCTGGAGACGAGTTAGAGCATGAGGACGACGGTTTTGATGACTGGATCGACGAGGTGCACGGTTTTATGCACATAATCAATGACTTACCCTTCGTTTCACGACGCCAATCCACGATCCACTCATTTTCCGCCGAAATTGCACCCACCGAGTCCACAACACCGCCTACACTGAGCTACGATCAGGTACCTCGCTCAGAAGCAGCTCGACTCGCCGATCATCGTGTAGATCTGGTTCAGGGATGGCTTGAGACGCTACGACGCCCACGGGACATGTCTGAACAGCAATATCAGGCATTTATTCGGTTTAGCATGGAATTCTACCTCGAAAATCGAAAGCTTTGGCGCAAGGACGCACACGGACGCCACAAGCTAGTCGTTCCCTCCCACCGTCGAATATTCATCCTGCGATCTGCCCACGACGACGTTGGTCACAAGGGATTCCACGCAACGAAGGCTTTGCTCACGGAACGATTCTGGTGGCCATTCCTTGCACACGACGTCACCTGGTACCTACGCACCTGCCACCTATGTCAGATTCGACAGACAAAGAAGCTCCTTATCCCCCCTACCGTCGCGGTCCCGGCCCCACTGTTTTCGAAAATTCATATGGACACTATGCACATGCCGCCAAGCGCTGGATTCCGCTACATTGTGCAAGGACGATGCTCGATTTCGCTTTTTCCTGAGTTCCGCATGCTGCGCCGTGAGACAGCGACCACCCTGGGCGAATGGATCTTCCAGGACTTGATCTGCAGATGGGGGACGCTCACAGAAATCGTGTCAGACAACGGCGCACCGTTTGTGAAGGCATTGGCGTACCTGGAAGCTAAGTATCACGTCCGTCATGTGCGCATTTCGGGATACAACTCACGCGCAAATGGGCTGATTGAAAATCCACATTTCGACATCCGCGAGGCGCTCTTCAAGGCTGTAGATGGGGAGCAGAAGAACTGGAGTTCTGCTGCTTATTCGGTCTTCTGGGCGGACCGTGTCACTGTCCGTCGTCGCATGGGCTGCTCACCCTATTTTGCGGTCACTGGAACGCATCCATTAATTCCCCTCGATTTATCAGAAGCCACATACCTGCTCCCGCCGCCCGAAACCGTCCTTTCGACCACGGATCTCATTGCACGACGCGCCATTGCGCTCCAGAAACGCCGAAGCGATCTAGAAGCCCTACACTCTCGAGTTTATCAAGCACGACTGCGTGACGCTGCACGCTTCGAGATCGAGCACGCCGCCACGATCTGCGACTTCAACTTCAAGCAGGGCGACCTGGTTTTGATGAGGAACACGGCCATCGAGAAGTCCCTCAATATGAAGATGCGCAAACGCTATTTGGGCCCATTAGTCGTCATTTCGCGCAACAAGGGAGGCGCCTACATCCTGTGTGAGCTAGACGGCTCAGTTTTCCATCGTCCCATCGCCGCTTTTCGTGTTATACCTTATTTTGCACGCACAACGATCCCCCTCCCTCCCCTGGACGATTTCCTCGATATCTCAACCGAGAAACTGCGCGAGCTCGAGCAGTCAACATTGGTGGACCCAGAAACAGATCAGGAAGAGGAGGAGAGCTGTGAAGAGTTGTAGAAGAGTTAGAGAACGCGTTTCAGTCAGGAGGATGCACCTGCACAGCTGAGCACCCTCTCCTTTCGACTTTGCTGCCCATTCCTTTCCCCCCAAGTCGCATCCTTTGATTCATCATTGTCTTGCGCAGCTCCGAGGAGCTAAGGCTATGATGATCTACTGAGCCTTTATCTTCACATTTCTATTCCTCAAGACACTTGTCCGCTATTCTATGACCGAGGACGGTCATTTTTTCAGTCAGGAGGAGATGACGGACTGGCCTATCTATCCGACAAGTCCTGACGTGTGGCAGTGCATGTCAATCAGCAATCAGTGGGCGCACGCTTCGCACACAACTGAGGGTCTCCTCAATATTCCTCAGCCCTGGCTATTCACTGGTTCGTCCAGCCCTGCATATATTTTTGATATTCACATCCCTGGACTGCTGTCTGCACATTTATCTCTACACCCCTGCCTTTCTTACTTCACCATCCACTTGTACCTGTTTTTCCCCTCTCACTTCCCTGGTTCCTCTGTTCACCGTCCCTTGCTCCATCCTGTCGATATTTCACCCACTCTGATGATTATTTCATTGTCTCACATACAAAAGCTTGTAGTTGGACAAAAGAAAAATAGATTTATTCTCCTCATAGTCTTGAGTTCAGTTCTCGTCTTCAGCTCGTTTCTACTTGGGTATTTCGACCCTCTGCTTCGTCGCATCCGTCCCACGCCGCCCTCGACTTCGTCCCACGTCTAAAATCATCATTTCTTACTGCCTGCCACGGCACTGAATCTTGTGGACCTCCTCGCACATCACACTTATTCCTGCACTGTTTTAGGTCGTAGCTGACCCCCATTTTGTGTTAGCTCGCGCCTATTCCGTCCGCAGGCACGTCAGCGGGGGTGGTTGCGCACAACTCTACCCCCTCTGGGGTTTCACGGCCCGTTGCCAGGTGTGTCTTGCCCTGCGTGGCGCTCTCCGTCGGGTTAATCCCTCCTTGCCGGTTTCCAGGGTCCATGTCGTGTGTTCCTGTTGACTCTGCATCAACAAGTTGGGGGTCTAGCACGGGGTCTACTCGCCTTGGGGGGGAGGTTGCAGACAACTCATCCCCCACAGAGGCTTCTCGCCCCAATCCCCGGTGCCCTCCTTTAGGTGCATCTCGTGTAGGTCGACATGCACTCGATTCGTTGAACAGCAGTGATCTGCTCGCCCCATCAGACACCGTGACAGTGTCCTTTCGAAAGTCCTGAACCGCCCGCAGCGCCCGCAGAATGGGTTTCCCGAGCAGGATGGTCCAGGCCCCTCCCGAGTCGATCACTTCGAACTCTGCTCGAACTTTGATACCGCCAACGTCAACGGTTCCTTCCCAGTGCGCAGACGTCGATATTGTGGTGCTGTTTGCCATCCTTAGCCACTTCTGTGGCTTGGACACGTTGCCCAGCCTGTGTCTCCGCGCCGCAAACCACGTGCTGTCCAGTACTCCCGATCCAGCCGCCCCGTCAAAGAGCGCCGTGCCATGCACACGCTCGCCATTAGGGCCCTCCATAGATATTGTGTGTTTGAATAGGGGTTGGTCGTTCTCAGGCTCGTCCACAGTAAACAGGTCGACAGTTTCAAGTTCAAGAGATTGCAATACATTAGTGTCGACTGTATGCTGGTGACCCTCCGGCACGCCCAATTGGCCAGAGTATGGGGCCGATGCATTGCCTATTGCGTCAGCCCCGCCTGAAAATCCCGGAGGTCCTCCTCCGTCGGCGTCCCAATTGAAGTCCAATCAACTACGTTCACGGGCACTGGGGCTGGCCCGGCGCGTGTCTGGCCCAGCCATGCGTGGCAGAGGTACCGGAACTGGCGCTCGTCGCTAGGGACAAACGGCGCCGTGCACTCCCCACCTCCATGACGGGGGTACCCGCACTTCCAGCATTCGCGGCTGCATGGTGCCTGCGTTCCAGGGGCGAGCGGGTATCCGGTTTCCCAAAGGTGTTGGTTGCCGGCTAGTCATGCAGCGCCGTGCTGAGTCGCCCATGCAGCTTGTTGCTGGTTGTACGTGGCCCGTCCTTGCGGAGTGTCCGGTTGTGCAAGTGAAATACACTTCTCGCGAGCCGCCCTGATTTGCGCGACCTCTTCTGTCGTCGGGGTATAGTCTCTTTTGAATTGCGCCTGACGGGGTCAGTCTTGCTGGGTCACGTTCGGTGGTCGGCTGGTTGCCGGGGGGACGTGCGCCGGCTTGGAAGCTACGGCGGCAGTAGCGTGGGACGTCGGAGACAACCGGAAGGCGCTAAACCTGCGCGTCAAGTCGTTGACATTGGCTTTGAGGAGTTGCTGTTCTCGCAATGTGTTGGCCGCGGCCCGGTAACCTTCTGCGAGTTCGTGGATGTCTGAGTTAGCGATTGCCCGGATCTGTGCGGCCACGCCTGCCCAGCTCGTCGGATCTGGCGTAAGGGCCTTTACGATTATGCTTGGTTGGTTCTCCTTCCACAGCGGGTACCCAGCGAGTGTGCCTTTGACTTTTGCCTGCATGGCCAAGTCCTCCACCTGGTTCGCAAAGTCCTCTTGGACGTAGACTTCCACCTCCCCTCTCTTCACCGTCTCCGCGGCAAGCTCTGCCACCGTGATCCTCGTTTTCAGGAGTTCCGCCTCATAAGAAGCGGCGGTGCGACGAATCGGCTTGAGGCCCGGAAATGTGGTTGCGAGCTCGCCCAGGTACGCATCGAGGGACGCGCGTGCCAGCGACGTTGCTGCCAAGCTGAGCATGTGGTCTTCTGCCGGACTATCCGGTTTCAGATGGTAGTTGACAGCGCGTATCTGTTCGTCGGTTGTCGCGTATTGGCGGTCGGCGACCATTTGGCAGACTGCACGGACCCAATCGGCAGTAAGCATGTTCGTACCGTCTCGGCGACCGGAGAATGGCAGGACGTCGGCTGAGGGCATGGGTATAGCTGGGCGTGGTCGAGGGATCTGTTGTGACGTGGTCGACGTCGGCAGGGTTATTAGATGGGACAGTTTAAAGGTGGCCGGCGGGCCAGTCGGGCTTGAAGTTGTGCTTGAGTTGCTGAGCTCTGTCAGCGGCGAAGTGGTGTAAAACAGAGAGGGCTCAGATGCGCTACGCTGCCGCTGTCTCGGTTGACGACGAGTGGGCGGGTAGGACGCTAGGTCAATGGCGCCCAGAAGACCGTGGGAACGAGTGGAGAACGGTATTTTTGGAACAGTAAGCGACGTGGGCACAGGGGACGTGGGCACAAGGGCGACGTAGGTGACGTATGCAGAATGAAAAAGACTTTTTTCCAAGGATCAACAGTCGATCGCACTAATCCGTGGACGGGTACAAACCGCACTCCAATCACCACGATGGGACAGCGGGGGGCGAGGGAATCGGAGTGTGGCGATGCTCTGATAGGCGCGTGCGATGGCGGCGGAGAACAACGATCTGAGCTATCTACGGAACAATCGGCTTGACTATAGATCCGATCAGCACAGCCACCGATCACCCTTCCTTGCCCACCGACACACCGCATATCACCCGATCACGGATGGACAAACTGAACGCATGAATCAGGAGATCGAACACTATCTCCGCATTTACGTCAACTACCATCAGACGGATTGGTCGGAGTGGCTGGGAATGGCGGAGTTCGCATACAATGACAAAATGAACACGTCTACCAAGATGTCGCCGTTCTATGCAAATCATGGATATCACCCATGGAAGGGAGTGGAGCAAAGGATGGAATCAAGGAACGAGTCGGCGGAGGAATTTGTAAAAAGAATCAAAGAAATACAAGACGAAGCAAAAGCAGCATTGGAAAAAGCAAAAGAAAAAATGAAAAAATACTACAATAAACAAAGAAAAGAAGTTCCGGAGTTGAAGGTTGGGATGAAGGTGTACATAGAAGGGGAAAATATTGAGACGGATAGACCATCGAAGAAGATGAGCGACAAGAGATTGGGACCATACAAGATACTGGAGAAGGTTGGAGCGGCCGCATGGAAGCTGGATTTGCCGGACACGGACCGAAGACACCCGGTGTTCAACGAGTCACTATTGACACCTTATCATGAACCACCCCCCCATCGCCGAGAGAAGAGACCCGTAGCCAAGATGATTGGAGGAGCAGAGGAGTGGGAAGTTGAAGAAATCGTGAAAGAGCGAAAAGTCGGCCGAGGAAAACAGTACTTGGTCAAATGGAAGGGATGGCCGCACAGCGAGAACACCTGGGAACCATCACGTCACCTTACCCACGCAAAGGACGTCCTGAGAGACTGGCAGAGGAAACAATCAAATCCAGACACACGCATTCGCCTCCTGCCAACGCTCGAAGCCGGACATTGGGACTATCTCATTCATCGCTACAAGCCCAGGGACAAACGCCTTCCATACCCCCAACGACAGCTCTTCGATCCTGATGAGAACATCTTCACGCCCATCAGCCTAGTCGATGAGGACATCGACCCTAGAGAGGGGGTAATGTCATAGTTCAACCCTTTTTTCATCTTATCATCGACCATCTTATCTTATCTCGTTATCTCGGCACGAATTATCTTATCACGGATCAAGGCATCCGACGGTCCGGACTAGGTGTTCCAGGGATTATCTTCATCGATTCGAGGCTGCGCGACATATGCTCCAGAAGGTTCTATTACAACCCATGACCAGTGCTCCATGCGGTACATAGCCTTATGACTCATTAGTTGTAGATATGACTCAGACTGGATTTGGGTATAAATACTGTAGCTACTTGGTTGTATTCTCCAGTCTTCGAATTCACTTCTCTTTTCGACTTATTTTTGGGTTGATTGTCACACAATGGGTCATGTGCATGGTCATGGGCCCAAGGAGCACAACATCCCCCAACACTTCCTACAGCTTTCCAGTTTGTCTGATCAATGCTATCTATTATGATTCATTACTCTACCTTTCACCATCACTCCATTTCTTCCCCACTCTCATTTGTGCCTACACCAGCACTGGCAATGCACCATCCCAATCTCACCTGGGGAAGTCCCTGCAAGTTGAAGATGTCCCAGCCAACTTTATATAAATTGAAACACTGACACACTGCACTACTAAAGCAGATACTACACTTGATTTCATACTGTAAAAACATATTCTAAGCCTACTTCAAGCATCTGCAGATTGCAACCCGTCAGACAAGTTCCACCAGACAAGGAATCACGTACAGTAGCTGGTACCCACGAGCATGGTGGACAGATTCTGAAGGTACTCCTCGCCGAACGACAGCTGGTCTTTGTGCCATGTATCCTGGTGCGTCTGCGCGATCCAGTAAGCTAAGGATTCATGCCAAGCACACCCGCGCACCTTCTTGAACTCCGACGCACACTTTCTAATGGTCGTCGAGATCGGCGGCGGATCCGTCGCATGCGCCGCCAGCACTGGGACAGCCGACGCAACGAAAGTCAGCCAAAGGGAACCACGCGCGAACTCCTCACGACGCACCGTCGGTCAGGGGCGGCATCCACGGCTCCACCGTGTACGGGAAACTCTCGATCAGTGCGCAGAGGCCCAGGATCGCCGAATGCAGCGACCGCAGCGCATTGGCGTATTCCGCATCACGTCTCGCCGGAAGCACTGTTTTCCGCGCTAGATTGAGGAAACGGTTCTGCGGGACGTGTTTGGTCATGCGTGAGGCACGGCGGGTGCAGTGCAGACAAGACAGACCTTGAGCGGCACGATACTGGCCCGCTGTGAGCAGCGCACAACGCCTGAGAGCACGTTGGACGCCATCTGTCGGACCTCGACATTCTCGTCCGACAGACACAACAGCAGCACGTCCATTACCTCGGATACGCCCTCCGTGGAAATGGTCATCAGGTTTCGGTAGAAGAAGATCACCAGAGTCGGGAGCGCCAAGAGTCGTATCCGCCAGGACTGGCGGCTTGTCAGCATAAAAGTGGCGAGCGGTAGGATGCATTGCATACCGTCGAAGATTTGATGGCAGTGATAAAGTTCTAAGCATTTCGTTCAGAAGCCAAATACCAGAGGCATACACACAGCAACTCACGCCCAAGATTTCGGGCACATAGAGCGGTGGCGCCGGTGCCGCAGACACCACATACAGCACTCCCGTGCTATACAGCTGCAACTCCGAGCTGTCATTCAGCTCCGACATGCGCAGGATCTCGGGCCTGGGGCGAGCAAATCAGCGGAGGTCGCGCAAGTGAATCTTTGCAGCCCACATCATGTCCACCATGTGCGGGAATATCAGCGCAGGATACGTCCCAAACGACGAGATCCAAACCAGACTCAGGACTGGTGGATGCGATCAGTAGAATAGAAATGAGTAGCAAGGGATACACACAAGTCAAGCCGATCTTGTCGTACTAGAGCACAGTCAATGCCAACGCCCCAACAGAATGCGCCGCTGAGAATACGCACCTCCGACTGACTGACTCGCGGAGGTGGAAGTCGCTCCTCCCTCAGCTGACCCAACCGCACGAGGATCTCGTCAAACTGCGGACCGTACTTGGAGTCCCTAGAAAAGAAAGACATCAGTTTCGAGCTCTTCCCGGGGACGAATCATTCACGCACCGTAGTTTCAAAGGATCTGCGCTGCTCTCACACGCCCCGGTCAGCGCTTGCAGGGTCGGGTAAAGCGGCTGCCACTGTCCAGTCATCATAGCGTGCAGGTAGGTCGAGATGTGGGTTCGGATCTGGGCAGGTTGGTCACTGTGTGGTAAAGACCAACACTCGAGTCCGAACCTCATTGAATCCGATATTCATGTTGGCAAACAAGAGTTGGGTGGTCTCGTCTGCGCGCGTAAATCGTTCGCCCAGCGTATCGGGCAGCAAGCCGAGGAGATAGAGGGACTTGCTCACTGCGCACTTGGCATCAGCATCCGGTCCCGGCAGGAAATACATCGAGCGCACTTTCGAACACAGAGTCCCCAGAGAAATCCAGCGGTCGCGCGAGGAGCCAATCGATCAGCGGTTGATTACGCCGGGGGTCGCGGTCTTGCAGTTGACTCTGATATCCGTCAGAATTCCCTTCCGGCAAAGAACGCACAGGACAAGACTGACCGTGATCAGCACTTTCCAGAACCCAAACGTGTCTGGCTTGAGTTGCGTGAAAACCACGTCGAGCTTCGCGATGCTCCACTTCCAGAGCTGATCCGAGAGGGACTTGGGCCAGTGCTTAGATCCACGCCAGAGCCCACCCATAAACTCCCCCCCAGCGCGCTGCTTGAACTTGTCCGGGTCCGCGAGTAGTGAATCGGTGATCGCAATCAGTTCGTCTAAAACGCCGCCCTCGAACATCTTGGCTGTGAAGGATGCCGTGTCAGCGCTTTCAGATCACATCCCTAAGTTTGATGCCCACCGAGTGTCTTGATATACGAGACATTGTCCGGACGCATCCCGAGCGAGCCGGTGTTCTTAACAGACTCCTGGCTCCAGAGCGCAGCAAGCTTGCCAAAGTAGTCGTCCTGCGTGACCAGCGCATGAATCTCGCGCAGCGTATCGAGCGACTCCGACTCCCATGCGACCGGTTGCTGCTGCTCCTCCCCAGCGTAGTAGGCCCGGACAGTCGGTGTCCAGAGCAGGAATCCCGACTCAAGCTTGTCCACGAAAAAGTCGCGAGGCGCGGTGTTGAGGCGGCCCAGGAATGTCATCGGGTCGGCCACGGGGATGTGTTTGACCACTGGATGGTCCCACTCCTCGAACCAGAGCTGTTCGGGGGATTTGGCGTATGTCCGCATCTTGACGTGTAGCGCGAGTTTAACGATGGCCCTAGACTCTTTCAACGGAGTCGACAGTACCGGAACCTGAATAACTCACATTTGGGCCGTGGACTGGATGGTGTTTTGCGGGCTGACCGAGTTCTGGACAAAGAAACGTGCGACCTGGGCTGGCGCCGGCATTTCCCGCCGTAAAAGCGATGTCAAGAAACGCACGGCGATCTGCGTATAGCGCCACTACATGACGGAGGTTGTGCGTCAATCTCGGCTCATGCGTAGGGCACGGGAACGCTTACATGGGTCAGGGGCCGCTGCGCTATTTCCAGAATCGACGACACCGTCTTCTGGTGCATCTCAAGTTGCAGTGCCACCCGCTTGGGCGTCTTGCTCATTGCCTCGTCGAGGAGCGGTTTGTCAATTACCGCAGGTGTGAATTCATTCTGCAGCTCAGCAAGAGCCGCCTCAACGCGATCGGTTGGCAGCGTATACGAGTCGGAGTGCCCGGACTCTTCTCGGAAGTGGGCCTTGAATTCATTGGCGACCTCCGTGACCAGTTTCTGGATGGACGGCTGCAGGCAGTGGTCAGCAGCAGATCATGTGGGCTGTCACAGATGCAGAAAAGACAACCTTCTCCTCGTGCTGACACTCCAGCAAAGCACGGTGCATATCACCCTGCAAGATGACATCTATCCAAGTCAGTCGCACGTACGGAAAACGGCCATTCATAGACACACCCGATAGAGCATGCAGCACTAGTCATCGTCAGCATCCACGTACCAACGAGCAAAAACAGACTGACTGATGGGCTTGTCGGCCAGAACATACAGCGAGCCCTTCATGCGGTCTGGATCGTTGCCCTTGCCCAAGGCAGCCAGCATAATCGGCAGTACATACCTCAAAAAACGGATGTAGTACTAGTACGTTTCACATCAGCATGTCGTCAAATAAGATTCATACAAGATCGACTTGCCGTTTTCATGGTAGATACGACCGCCTGCGCCTGTCTGCAAGAAAGATCAATCGATGACACAGGCATAGACCGGAACAAAGTACCTTCGGATCCGCGTGTAAGAGGAGAGCGACATCTCGACCAGCTCGACGATAATTCTGTCGTCGAGCTCAGAGCGCAGCCGAAACACGGTTTGCAGCGCCAAACGTTGGTTGTGGTACATCTGGGCTCGCTTGACGAACACCAGCCGCGAGTTGGCCTTTTCCCGCACCCAGATTCGATTTGCACTAGCTTGGTCTCAGAGGCAAAACCCAGCGCCGCTCGAAAGGAAGTGGATACTTACTCGCGGGCCTGCTTGTAGTTCTTGATGAGCGATTCAAGTGTGCTATTGGGCGTGCCGTAGCTGAGCAAGTAAACATCCATCGAACGCGTGACGCCCATGACAGCATCGATGTGGTCGTTCTCGTCCCCGGATGCCTTCTGGCGCAAGGCGGAAGACGCCTTCACAATCAGTTCGCCAAAACGCTCCCGATGGGCGAGGACTTTCTGATACCGTGGATCGGCCGGGTCCGTCAGCGTAAAGCCGGCGTGTGGATTCAAGCTCGAGACGACGAGCCCGGTGACTTCCGACTCCCTGATCAGAGGAGCGACAACGTTCTTCAAATGGGGATACTCCCTGTAAAGGGTCGGCAGCCCGGCCCAAATGGACCGACACGCAAAGAGATACCGACAGAAGTCGTTTCTGGCCTCGCCGTCCCATTCTGAGGTCTTCGGCACCAGTTCCTCCAACTTTTCCACCAGCGGCTTCTGAACAGTGTCGAGTATCTCGAGAACGAACTCGATCTCAGCATCAGACGGCACTGATTCATCGATATCAACCCTCGGATAACAGTAAAAACCCGCTCACCATGCCACTCAACCTTGACGTCCTTCGCCTCGTACAGTTTGCCCCAGTGAGCGTTGTGATCCTTCTCGAAAGCCGGGTCCTGCCACTCATCCGAGTTGACGAAACGGTTGTTGATCGGGTAAATGCTCGCGACGTTGTTGAGGATCCGCGACAACATGCGTCCGGTCCCACTGTATCCGCGCTCTCCCTTCGTCTTGTCCGTCAAGAGAATAAGGAGATCGATCACTTGCTTCTTGTACTTGAGAATCGCGGGCCCGCCATAGGACAAGCAGCCTCGAAGGATGCTCATGTCTGAATTCTGTAATCAGAGTGAAGCCCTGTCACCAAAGCAAGCACGTACTCCAATGCAATGTCGTATCAGACGGAATCGCCGCACTGGACGACGTCGTCCGCACACTCGATGCCCCATGCCTGAGCTCCTCTTCAACCTGGGCGATGCAGAACGGCAGAAACTTGGCCATGGTCTGCTCGGGCTGAACCCGGGCCAGACACCCCACGAGTTGGCCAAACGCCCTCACAGCGTTGGATTTCGCGTTAGTCGTCCCATAGTCGTACACCAGCCGCAGTACGAGCTCAAACAGGTGGTCCGACAGGTGCAGACATACGATGTCCATCATGCTCTTGATACTGCTCAGAACCGTCTCTTCCTGCTTGCCCCCGGTGGTGTTTCTGCGCCCGCCTAGAAGGGTCTGAGTTCATGGTCATGAGCTCAAGTAGTGCAACGAACCTTCCTCCGGTAAGTTCTCGAACAACGCGAGCACCCTCCTGAACAATGATACAACCCAATCCGCAAATCCTGCCGTGCTGTCCCGCACCAACGCGCGCTCGTCTGTGCGACTCAATTGGGGGACCTCGCCCATCTCGCTACCCGCAGGGAACGGCGTAGTGTCCGAGTCGACGTCCATCGCCTCTTCATCGACAAGCGGCAGCCCAGAGGCGTGTGTCGAGAGATCTCCGACACGGATATGCTGAACAGCAGCGACGATGAACGTCGTCGCGCACGCGGTCTTGACCGGGTCGTTCAGGTCGATTCCCGGCAGAGATAGCTCGAGCAGCGGCACGAGGTGTTTCTGGCCAGGAAACCAGATGCGCTCGGTCACTAGCGTGCGGGAAATCGCCGTGAGCATCGTCAGCACCGCCGTCGTGCGATGCGTTTCGTTGACCACTTCTAGACCATTGTATGCTCGGTCGATAAGTTCAGGCATGATCAAGTTTGGCTCGAGGATCGAGAGGGTCTTGAGTGCTGTTTGCGCGTAGCCCATCGACAGCGGGTCTTTCGAAAACATGGCCAAAAGAGCTGGCGTTCGGAGGATGCCGACGAAGCCCCGCCGGATCGAGGCAGTCAGGCGGTGGCTCTGGAGGTCCAGTCAATGAGCGGTCGTGACCAGAACAGTCTTTTTGCATACTGCGGGGGTTTCACACGAGGGCAGCTCTTCTTCCTTCCATCGTTGATACAGGTAACTCGCTGTATGAGTGAGGAAAGAGGTCAGCTGTAAATTCAAAATTGAGCGATCTCCGGCCAAAAGACAGACGGTGTTGCGTACCACCACAGTGTAAGGCCCTGAATTAGACGGATGGAAGTACGTCTCGACACTAGTCAGCAGCCGGTCTAGCGTATCTAGCGCTTGGCTTCCGGCCACGAAGCCAGCGGTTGCACCACCCTCTAATCCACCGTGGTCCCGCGCATCGCCGTCAACAGCCATGGAGTACACCAGGATCTTTGCCAGACATTCTGCGGATCGGAAGTTCAAGATCATGTTAGCATATAATCAGATAGCCCTACGTTGACGAGAGATGGTCTTCTTGATCCTGGTGGCCCAGCGCTGGCTGGTGTCAGCGTTCGCAGCGGTTCCTAATGAGCCCTGCAAGAAATTAGGAGAGACATCCACATCACAGCGAACAACGCACTTTCCCGCCGACGGGAACCTCTGTCAACAGCATATCAGCGATCGAAGCAGAGAGCCAAGACGAAACCGACTGACCAATGGCAGACATCCCTTTTCCTATCAGATAGTTCCAATCTGCATGAGACCAGATGCCGATGTCCTTCCAGGCGGTAGAGCTAGCGGCGTGTGCCTCGGAAAGCTCAGCTGCCCGCTCAAGAATACGCTCATCGACGATGATGGAGTTGCAGGCCTTGGACATGGATAGGAGAGTCGGCATATAGAGATGCGGATCACTGAGCGGCAGGAATGAGACCAGCACCGGGAACATGCCCACCATCGTCTGCATCGCTTCGTGATTAGCAGCTCGCAGACGTCACATCACATACGTACGGACTGGGTGGTGAGCGGGAGCATCGTCGCGAGCATATCCGGGATTTCCGACGCGGGGAAGTACGCTCGTGCATGCTCAGCAGCGAAGATGAGCAGGTTGATCGTATTCCGGGCCCTACAAGCCAATATCAGTATAAGACCTCAATCGACGGTGTGCAACGCCACGGACTTGAGGTCACTGCGCTTGCGCCCCGAGGGCCATAGCTCCTTCGCGAGTGCGCGCCATAGCGGTGCCCAGGACAGCTGCAGGTCGGCAGGCTCGAGCTTACGCGGCATCCCCGGCTTGGCGTCGATCACGAGCATGAACATCTGTACCCACATCCGGCTGAGCCGCGCGTCAATTCCGGGGAGTACCATGAGCTCATAGTACAGCTGCGCGAGTTTGGCGCGCATAGCTTTCGGAATCGGGTAGTGTTGATGCAACCAGCTGAGGGTGCGAGTACAATGAGCTGTGGCTTCGCAGTAGGAGCGGATCAGAAGGGCGTACCCCTCGAGCACGATGTCCCATGGTAGGATCAGAGCCCAGTTCTTCGTCTTGATCAAGACGTGCATCTTCGACACGATCCACTCCAGTTTCGCGATCATCTCTGCGGGGGTCTCGCATTCGTAAGGAGACGCGGAGAGGTATCCCTGCAGCTCTTCGTCCGCCTCTTCACTCATGATTCAGGTCTGTGTATTGAGGTTGCGTCCGAGGATAGTAGAAAGTAGGATAGAGTTGGGCTTCGAAGGTGACGCGTCCGAGATGTTAACGCGTTGACGGTTTGATTGGCGATCAAATTTCTGTGTCGCGGATCATGCCGTCTCAACATTCCCAGGCACCTGTCGGATCAGTCTCGACAGGTCTCGAGGCTGCTAAGACTCGAGCTGCCTCCTGATGCGATCATCAGGCGATGACGAATCCAGCGGCAGCGACTGTCACTTGTCAGTGAACGGTTCCTCGGCCCGGAGGCAGGCTTGCCCAACCCCGCCACAGTCGACCACGCCTGGTCATTGCCGCGCATCGTCTGACAGATCCCTCTTCCTACGCACCAATGCATTCCCCCTCAAATGCAATAATATTCTAGCGAGATATACAAATGCTCATTACAACAACAAATTGACGCCTCTGCCTCCAAGAATTCGAACAAAGCAACAGTACAGTGGCCTACAATAACGTCCGCCCCATGGCAAGTGATGCCTCAGTGGTAATTAAGTGCGGTGGTGGTGATACACATGAATGATAAGAGTGACTGACGTGGCGTGGTCAGACTTCAATGTTGCCATCGCGGCAGAGACCAAAGACTCACTGCGGTGGTTTCGAGTGTCTAACTCGCGGATGTGCGACTGGGATCTGCGCGCGCTATGAGATGATGCATCCGCCGTTGGTGCTGTGCGATGTGTCTTCATCAACGGGCTGGGGCTGGGGCTGATCGCGCTCCTCCGACCTGCTCGAAGACAGGGCGTCGGTAGAGAATATGTCGAACGTGCACAAGGTGTCCATGGGTGTCGCAGGGAGGGAGGGATGGGTGTATCGCAGGCCGCTGGAATGCGGTATGGGAGCAGAGGAAGGCGGGGACGTGCAAAGTGTGCGAACTGATTCTTCATCCACCAACCCCGCCCTCCTTATATCCCACCTCAACCAATTGTTCTCCGGGCAGCGGGTTAAGTCCCGGCAGTCTCTTCTACACAATAAACGAGCTTGCGCGTTCTTTCGTCCCCTCTCACCCACTTACAATAACGAGAGTGATCGGTTTCCCAATCGGGACAACGTGTCGGTGCAGAACAAAAAGGGTGCGGCCGGCGGGATTGGTTTGCAAGGATTGATGCTGATATCCCCGTAGTTCCTCCTGGCGCATGGTCTGGTTCCATGCGGGCCGGATGACGATTCGGGGATTCGCGTCTCAAGTACGAAGCATCGTCAGTTTTGTAGGAATCACCCCCCTCATTTCGTGCGAGCTCATTCAAGACTGTGATACAGTTCGAGATCCATTCCTCGATCCAAAGCAGCCCGTTTAGTCGCAGCGCACACCACAGCACCACTCCATGCAGCGTTGCACTAGCTCCTGCAATGCGTCTATCTTTAGAACAGCGGGAGCAGCCTAATGCAGGGCCGCCTTCGATATCCACCAGAAGCCGTCTGGCCTTCATTCCAAGCTCGTCGATTACTCTATGCAACGCCCGGCATTCGCGCTTCTTTCCGAAGGCCCGTTGGCCAACGCTTAAAGTGCGGTCCAGGTCGCGGCCCCTTCCACCCGCTTCAGCATGTCCGACATGTACTCTCCTGCGAGCAGCATCCACGAAGAGGAGAGGTTTTCGCCCGAGCGGCAGTCCCAGGAGAAGCGGCTCGTGAGGAAGCTGGACATTCGCGTTCTTCCAGCGATTTTTATTGTTTTCGTGATGAACTATGTCAATGTGCGTGCAGAAACCGTGCCTGGCTTCTTCCTCCTCTTCCTCTTCGCTCACAGATATCGTGGCTAGCGAACAGCAATAACAGCTGCTCGACTAAAGGGTCTAGAGCATGACCTCCATCTGACTGGTAAGCTCCGTGTCGAATATTCCCTCTCCGATGCTCAGCGTGCACCAGACATACAATACAATGTTGTGCTTTCGATTCTTTTTGTGACGCTTTCGTTGGCTCAGCCGCCTTCGAACATGGTGTGCCGTCTCTATTGTCCTCGATGAGTGCCAATTGATGCCGGAAAGCTTCTGAACAAAATCAAGAGGTTCGGAGCCTTCTCTTGAGCCGGAGCTGACAAGAGCCAATGACGGCTCATCAGGCCTTCGATCTACATTGGAAGCTGCGTTGTGATTTGGGGGTTAGCTAGCGCGCTCTCTGGTGTGCGTACTCAGCTCTACGTTGACTTGTCTATGTTTTGAGCGATACCCAGGCCACTACGAACTTTGGCGGGATACTCGTTTGCCGACTGTTCATCGGATTACCTGAGGTGCGTCTTCTTTGGCCTGTGTCCTTCGCAGATGGGATTCTTGACTGACGTCACAGGCGTCGTTCTATCCGGGAGGTGCGCTGGTCCTTACTCTGACTATATTCCAATCGTGAAGTCAATGCACAGCGGTGTATCTTCTCTCTTGCTGGTACACGAAGCGAGTAAGTGTTTCGTCCATCTTTCTGGCCGCCCTGTTGAACACCTCCAGGAGCTTGCTTTCCGTGCAGCAATATTGTTCTCTGGCCTAGACTTTGCGAATGCGTTCGGAGCGGTGAGCTCTAAACCCTTCTGATCTGCTGCATCGCTCCAACCAGGGACCAGCTTCTGGCAGCTGGAATCTTGGCTGGGATGGAAGGGATCTTGGGGATCGCTGGATGGCGCTGGTGCGAGCTTGTACGTTTCTCCGATGGGTCCGGCTCACGTACAATGCCCGTAGGTTGTTCATCCTCGAGGTGCGGTGCGCTATCTGCAACCCTGTAAATCATTGGTCTCACGAATGATGCTCAGGGAGCCGCGACGATATGCCTAGGCTTTCTGGTGATGTGAATCCCTGCGGCCCCCTCGTTTGGCGCTGGCGTGCTTATGCGACACAGGTGGCTGCTTCCAGACTTCGTGAGCTTCCCCTCCCCTGAGTGGCCTTTCGAACAATCTCACCCCGCGCCAGCCACGGAACACCAGGTGGATAAGTGACAAGGAAAGCCGGCTAGCTCAAGCTCGTCTGGCCGAAGACGCTGGGGAAGCCGACCAGGACACCATGTCGGACTCGTATGACACGATCGAGCTCCCGGGTTCTTCGCTGATCAACTTCATGTAGCTACCTGCAGGGGCTGAAGCTTGCTGTCGCTGATCCGCTTGTGTGGCTGTTCTCGATAGTAATGTGTGAGCCGTCACAACTGTGTAAGGTGCTCAACCACCTTACTTCTCGCCACAGTATCACAACACATCGGAAGGAGTGTTGGCCAGTTCTTTCCTACGTGGGCAGCCCTTCAAATCCCGCTGCCATTGACTCATACTTTTTATGCAGTTTCGCCAAGACCCTGGGATACTCGACCACCATCACACTCCTGCTCACTGCGTGAGTCTCCCCGACTTTTTTCTCCCTAGAACACGAACGAACGCTGCCCAGTCCACCTTGGATCGTTGCAGCCATCATATGTCTGGTCAGTGCCTGGCATGGAGGTCAGTCCATATCCGATTGCGCTCTGCAGGCTGTCAAGCTTCTGCAGATAAGACCGGGGAACGATTCTTCCATGTGTCTATATGGATTTGGGCCATGATGGTGGGCTTCATCATCAGCCTCTGCACGATGAACGTCGGGGCGAGGTACTTGTCCATGTTTCTCATGGCAATAGGCGACGCCGGTGCGAAGCCAGCGCTTGGCACGGCCTGTCGTCGTTGACTCAAATCTCGGTGTTCTAGGCTGTACGATGGCTATGGTCTGGACGTCCAACTCCCTCCCCCGGCCTCCGGCGTACGGATCTACTTGTCCGCCGCGCATCTGTGTGCTGACTTGACCTCAGCAAACGTGCCGTGGCCATCGGCATTGTCAATGGTTTCGGTAATCTCGGCACTCTGTGAGTGCTGCATGTGTCCCATGCCAAGCCGACATTGAATTCAGTCTCGACAGGATAGGATCTTACATGTGGAAGAACAAATGGGCTCCCCGTTATGCCCAATCCTCAGAAATCTCGTTAGCGGCTTTGGCCTTGAGCAGTGTGTTCACCATCAGTCAGTCGTAGTCCTCTTTCACAGGGCGCGTCTGAAGACCTGTCGCCAGTCATCCGGCAGCGACTCATCAATATGAACCGCAAATTGGATACGGACGAGAGCATGATATCGGAAGAACGAGTGAAAAAAGCAGCCCATCTCGAAGGTATTACAATCCAGCAGGCCATGAACAAACGCAAAGGATACCGATACCTGTACTAAACCGAGACAGTAATGATACATTGCGACTTGTGGTAGATACAGATGAGACGCCGCTACGTTCAAATCATTGATAGCTTTTATAACAGAAAAAGTCCACATGAAGTCCACATGAAAACGTGATCTACGCTCAAGCTCGTAGAGGCTTGTACACTCCCCGACTGGCGCAACCGCAGCACCTGCCGATAAGGAACATGATGGGGGTGATGAACAGCAGACCCATGGCGGCGAGTGTTAGCCAGATGGCGTTGCCCATGACCGCGACGTTCACACCCGACAAGTCGTTAACCCGCTTCTTGATGATGAAGAAAAAGGCGAGGTCGAACACGAACACCACCAAGCCTGTCGCGCCGGCAAAACCGCTGAAGCAATCTGCACAGCACTCGGCGATGATCGGCACGCCGCATAGTGCGAGGAGGCCGAAGGCGAAGGCGCCGAGCGTGATTGCGAGCGCGGCGATGTGCAGCACGAGCGCTTTCGTCAGTGCGGTGGCAGCGACATCGATCTCCTTGGTGAGAATCGCTGGCAGCGAGCCGTTGATGAATTGCGAGGCCTCTGCATGCTTTATTAGCCGCTTTGTGGGCGCCCCAGGATCAGGAATCCGTACCTGAAAGCGAGTACCCTATCTTCGCGGGCGAGCATTGGAGCCCCAGCCCGTTCTTCAGATCCGTGCAGAATCCGAGCACTCCAAGGTCGACAAACGGCGTCGTCTGGTTGCTTGAGGCGGTTGAGGCCGCGACGCCCGCGAGGTCGATACGGAGGAAGTAGATAGATTTAAAGTACGGCACATCGAATGCGACGAGCGCCAGGAGGACAGCCGCCGCAGCGATACAGGCAACACCGAGGATCTTGTCGCAGCCCATGATATGTAACGAAGAAAAAAATGGAGAGGGGTGGAAGAAGGCAGATGACAAGCTGCTGTCCGGGTCTCCGTGTTTTTGAGGGAGATTCGCACAGCCACACCGAGAAGATACTCATGTGCGTGATTGCTGATGCACAGCCCATGCAACGCTGCGGGCAGTGCGCCGATGCCACGGCCTTCTTAGAGTCGTAATGCAAGCTGTTGCGAGCAACGGATTACCTCCGGACACAGCGCTTTCGGGCATATCACTATGCACTAACAGGACTGATCACCGCGATGTCCGACCTATACTCTCAATCCTCTCTGGGGTGATATTGCGATACGGGCTAAGCAATCCAGTTCAGGGACATCCAGCGGACCATCGAGAAGCACAAATTTGATTCAACTTGACAAGCTTCTACTAGAGCCAAGCATTGGTGGACGTTGTTAGAGCTACACAAGTGACAACGATACAGCGAAATCGGAAGATACAGAAACCAGGGCTGATTCGGGAGCAAATTGCGGTAGACGGAGACTACAGCAGGTGAAAGCACAGAACAGAGATTCAGTTGGAAGGCAGGATGGTGCTGATGACGGCCCGAGTTTCTACAGACGGATTGGGCCCACATCGCTTGAGAAAATACAGTAGGACTGACCCTCGCAAGCTTCTTTCACCTGGGCCATCCCTTCAATTTGAGCCTTCTCCGTTGTCGAGCGCAGCGCGTCACTCGCGGCACGCTGTTTCCGTCCAAGCTCCTGTCATGGGTGCGGAGATGCATCTATGTGAGACTCTAGATTCCTAGCCGGCACGCACGACGAGTTTTTGCTGTTCAACTCTGATTTCGGTCCACAGCGCTCGGATCGAGTCTTCGGAGCTGGCGTAGTCGAGCACAAACTTGGCGTAGACCTTCTCGCTGTCCCACGCGTCAGTGTATGCGCTGCACTGACGGAGAGCCTGGCACTTACGATTCTTCTACCGCGTTCTTCACGACTGCCGCGGCGGACGATATCTGCGAAGAGTTCAGACTCAGAGAGATCGGGAGGGCAAAGAGTCAGCAACCTCGGAAGAGAGCTTATTCTTCGCAGCCTGCAGAAACTTCTTCTCTGTTTCTTTCCTCTTCTTCTCTTTGGTGACTGCAGATGAGGTCTCAGCAGTCGAAAGACAAGTTCTTAATCAGTGCCTTGCCAAGTAACTGCTGGGCAACAGCGAGCTGGAGGCTTGACGATGTTAGCGTGATCCATATGCGCATAAGGAAGCGCGACGCACGCTTGATCATCGCTCCCGTTCGACTGCTGCGATCCAAAGTCGAAGTCGTCTCCAACCTGGGGAAGCGAGTCTTGCTTTCTCATCACTGGGTGTCGAGCTTGAGTCCGTCGCTGGGCCATCGTCGTGCCAGGAAGGCCGGAAAGATTTGCGGGGAATGGGAGGGAGGTACGCGGTCACGTGTCGTTAATTATTACGTTCAGTGAGGTTCAGAAAGATTCAATCAAATCCCATTCATGCTTCGTTTCGACAGTATTCAGGTTGTAAAACATTAATCATGGTGGGACATTTTTTAAAGAGGAAGACTGGAGAAGTTTCCAACTAATTTCATGAGGCAGATCGATCAGTGGTCATCCGGGGAACATTGGATTCAGCGTGGAATTGCCATCGACGTCCTCTTCCAAATAATGACTGCACTCCAGCATGGGCAATTAAGGGAGAATACATGCTTGGCCTCGCTCGGCGTCGCAGGACACGGTTCGGCACACGAGCTCCGGTCCCGAAGTGGGTAGATCATGATGTGTGTCACTTCAATGTCATGACGCACGCTGGCATTGATCGATCGAGAACAGCCTTCCGTCTACATGCTCAGACTCAGACTCCACGACGCATCCTGAACCCATGCGAGTATCTGTGTAGTATCTCTCTCAAACTGCCCTTAATCTCTGCCCAGCTGTGAGCAGGTGCAGCAAATGGAGAGCCTTCCAAACGAACTTTTCGACCAGATCTTCTCCTTCCTCGATGAGTTAGACCTTCGATCCGTTTCTCAGGTCAACAACCGTCTACGCCCGATAGCCCTGTCGCACTACCTCGCATGTTTCAACGTCCCAGCATCTATTCTCTCCTCCTCTGAAGTCTCCACGCTCTCGCTGTCCATTTCGTCTGCGTTCCATCTGATACTTCTCATCTCACATCTTCGCCCCATTCTTTCACTAGTCTGCTTCGAATCCCGCACCTCCCATGGCCCTCAACTGCGCTATCGCACGCTGGCGCGGATCATCTCTCAAGCCCCACCCATCCCAGACATCCTTATCTACAACCGCCAGTATATGTTCCAGAAGACCAAGCGCGAAGCAGGCTACCTTCTCTCACGGATCCCCTCCTCGCGCGACCGCAAGTTGTTGATATTCAGCGGCCACCGCACGCTCGTTTCCATTCCCCGCACAACGCCCGCCGTCCCTTGGCGCCTGCTCCCGCCGCCATTCTCCGCCGGAGACTCAGAGCTCCTCCGCGTGATGCTGCTCGTGGTACTCTGCATCCCGCTCGTCTTTGCGTACTTCGTGACGCTGATTGTCAATTCGGTCGTCTTCGCGCGGTGGTTGTATGCGCTTGTGCGCGGCCCGCCGTGGCCCGCGGAGGACAGGATCCTGCATGACGCAGGGCCTCTCGCGTTCGACGAGTGGATGCGCGTCCAGGTACTGGACGACGACACCACCCTCGCGACACTGGCGAACCAGGCGGCGGTGCTCGCTTTGCGCCCGTTGAGCGGCGTGGGACCCGAGATGTATGGCAAGGTCCTACGCACGATGGATCTTTCGAAGAATCTGGTGACACTGAACATATTCGAGGGATGCGGGATCTGGTTGGGGGACCTGTTGGAATTCTTGAGCAGACACACGATGCTGGAGTCGCTCAACATCCAGCACAACTCTGTTCTCCTTCCTCCGAGTGACGAGCCCAGGAAGAGCCTGTCGCTGTCCTCCAGCGCCATCAAACAGCTCACTGCCCCTCCACTGTACATACCGCACCTGCTTCCCAGCACCCCCAACGTCTTCCAGCTGCGACTGACTCTCCCTCCTGCCCCCCGCCGTCTGGGGCGGAAGCACAGCCATGCCGACACTTATCGCACAGCGCTAGCGCACATCGGCGGGCTGCCCATCGACCATGATCTGACTCTGTATCTCGCACTGTCCCCGACGTCCCCCACAGCGCCCTGGCTGCTCGACAGCCAGCCGTCGGATGCGGAATCAGGCGCGCCCCCCGCCGAAGCGCATCTCACGCACGTGGGGACGCTCGTCCTCGAGGCCGTCGGGCTGAAATTCAAGGCGGTCCACGTGCACGCGATGGTGCCATGGCTGGCACGGTTCCCGGCGTTGCGGATGATCTCGTTCCCGTTTGGGTCGGTCGAGAAAATCGCGCCCGAGCAGAGGGCGGCGCTCGTTGCCGAGATTTGTGCGGCGTGTCGTGGCGTGTCGGGCGCGGGTGATGTGGCTTTCAATATATCTGAGTGAACTGACGATCGATGTATTTACCCGTTGTATCAGCTTATGGAATGATTCATGTGGACTTCGCTGTCGATGTGCAAGGTCCTGGAAGCTACATCGTAGGCTCGCTGCATGTGACCGCGCCTTAATTCCACCCGTTTTTTGATCGACCGACACACCCTTGTCAATCGCGACGGAGGAGTTTGAGTCCCGGAGATCATAGGGTCATGAGGCCCGGACTGCATATGCTCCCAAGCAAGCGGTGTCCTCTCGTTCACGTCGCACGGGCAACATCGCTCTAGATTTTAGTTCTACTTCCTAATCAAGTCTACGCTGCATCTGTCGTCTATCTCCACGGACCAATATGCACATACACACGGGCTCACGCCTTCCCGATCGTAAGCACCTCCTGTGCGGTCTTTTCACCGCTGACCACGGCTTGCACTACATGCAGCGCCTGCGCAAAGTCGCTGAAGAGGATGTGCGGGATCCCTTCACGGACGCAGTACGCCGCCAGATCATTCTCGCCGTCCAATTTCTCCTTCACGAAGAGCACGTCGGCGTGTCTGGCCGCAGACATGTCTGCACAAGTCAGCACGGTGCGGTGTACTATCGTATGTGGGGCAAGACTTGCCTGATACCCCGTCTCCAAAGAAGAACAGCAGGGGCGGGTTGGCGAGGTCTTTGTATGGCAGGATCGCGCGCGACTTGTCATGGCCGAAGCCGCTGTACGCGCAAGACAGCTTCAGAGGGGGGAATAAGAGCACCTGGGGAGGGCTTACCTCGAGGGATGTCTGTATTTGATGGTCCATTTGCCGTCTGGCTGGATCTCAACATCATTAGCGATTATGTCGATGCGTTCTGCCACCTCGTCTCCGAGGAGGTTCGAGAGGACTGCGCGGATGGAGGGCGCCATTCCGCTAAGTACCCCTTTAATCAGCGTGATATCTTGAACAGAGGACGCGGGGAGAAGCCTCACCTCGATACAATGACGAACGGGATATCAGCAGCTTCGCACCAAGCGTAGAATTCTTTAAATCCCGGGTCGAGCTTGATGTCTGCGTCCGGTAGTGAGCATGCAGTCGGTGGTACCGCGCGCGGGTGATGTAGCGCGCACTCTTCCGGAGCACATCCTTGCACGCGTCAAAGTCCCAGCCATTCGCCACGATGCTCTGCAGCATCTCCCGGAACCCATCCCGGAACGTCTGCTTCCCAGCCAACACGTCCAGATTCCCCTGTCGGCGTCTGTCCTTGCCGAATCCGAGGTTGTCCGTCATGTCTGTGGTTCACGCATGCATCCTGATCAGACCGATTCAACCGGGAGAGAATCTCGGTACGCTCACAGTCATTGGAGTCCTGCAATGTGATGGTGCCATCCCTGTCTGGAGATGAATTCGGTCATCCCGCGAGTGCGACGCGCAGAGGAACCCGCACCAGTCCGACAGAACGACGAACGGCTTGTTGTCGTGCACGGGTGGGTAGGGCAGTGTGCTCTCGGGTATCGCGTCGCTCATGATGGTAGTAAGTAGTATCGATGGACGGGATTTGCCAGGCATCCGGACTCGGAGATATCCGGGCCGGAATATTCATTTTGCCCAAGAAACACGATCACGTTAGCTAGATTGTGTCACGTATGCACTTCCAACCACGCGTCATTCGAAATCGCTCATGTCGATCAAGGGTCATGGAAGGTCATGAATTGTCAAAATATGTGATGAGCATAGGCCCCGATCACTTGGGCCGAGTTCTCGTCCACGTCCTGGAAAGATTCACCCCATTTCACTTGGAGTCCTGTGGCTTGCTTTATTCCTTTGTTGGAGCAGTCTAGGGACTTGCACGGACAGATTTTTCTTCTTTTACTTGAGACGATTTTGGGCGGCATTCTAATCTTTTTGGGTGCCTTCTGGTCGTAAAAAAGGCTCGGTCCTGAAATTGAACCATCTACAATCCCTCTTTGTAACTCTATGCTAGTTTAAGCTACAAGTCCTCAAGAAAAGTAGGGAGAAGCGAATATTATCTTTCATGCCTTTTCCTCGCTTTGGCTGTTCTTGTGTACAAGATCCCATCGGCCGAAGGGTAGGCAAACTGTGCAGCGAAAAAGCTAAGGCCTGGAACTCATTTTCCAGACAATGGCATCGGCGCTCTACTACACGGCTCCGCGTGGAACAGTCCAATAACGTGAGTGGTCTCCAGCCAGAGCGTATCCGCTTCTGGGATGAGGCAGCGGGACAACATTCCTGACCATGAATGCATCCGCATGAGTCCGATTCGGCAACCGTATCCGATGTCCGGAGAATAAATGTCGGATCAGGATGTGGGGATCGCCACAATCGTTTGGCATGTGGCGGAAAAGCTGGCGGCGCCCATGTAGAGCAGTGCGATGCAACTGTCTGACCGAGGGGTATAAAAGAGGTGCACGAGAGCCCATGGATCCTCATTCTACTCGATTCGACTCGGTCTTTCGCCGTATTACACTTCATCTTCCAAGGCGCTCTTCTTATTCACCTCACCCATCATGCACTTTGGCAAATTTGTTCTGTTCGGGCTCTCGAGCATCTCCGCTGCCCAGGCCGCGCCAGGGATCGCCTCGTTCTTCAACTCGCTGACGTCCGCTGTCGCCGACGACGTTTCCTCGCTGGCCAGTGCCGCCAGCGCCGCCGCGGCCCAGTCGGTCGTCACTGTCCTCGCCAGCGACAGCAACGGGATCTACAAACTCCTCGTCTGTGAGCCCTCCTCGTGCCCTCAAATAAGTAGATAACAACGGTTCTGAATTCACATCCCCCAGCGGAATCCGGCAAGGAGTTCACCGTCGTCACCACCGCCGCCGGCCCAGCGATCACGCTCGCTGGACCGGAACTCCTGGGATCAGTCACGACGACGTTTGCGGGGTCCACCTACACCATCGCGACCGCGCTGCCGGTCGTAACCGCGCCGACGGGCTCTCCGACCAGCACCGCCCGTTCCGGCGCTCCCGGTCCTGCATCCTCTGCGACGACGATGGGATTCATCACGGTGCTTGTCGGCGTCTGTGTCGGCGCTCTCATCGCCGTTTGATCGCTGCAATAGAATGGCTGAGACATACAGACGTGGGACATAGATACCAGAATAGTGGCGGAGGATTCCCATACGGAGTGTTCATGAAATCCATCGTCTGTGTTTGTTCAAAAAATGAGAATCTCGACCATGTCCCTCCGAAAAAAAGAGCTGAACATTGACTTGGTGAAGTCAAATGTTCCGAAGAGAATGCCGAATATTCTGTGCCAAATGAACATTTAACACAGGAAAAATCGGAGATGGATAGATTTTGAACTAGCTTGAGACATTCCGACAGGTGCGTAGGCAGGTCGAATCAGTTTACCGGCGCGCGGTCCCTATGAGGATAAACTGTTGATCCACGTTCTCTGATTATAGATGAGTCACTTGACGTGCTTCAACTTTGTCCGCGTGGCTTGTCCCTGGTTCGGATAAAAGAAGACAAGTGAGGAGCCATAGCCCTAGGATTTAGTCAAATCCGTTTGGCTGTAGCCATAGAAATTGCATTCAAATCTATGGCTGTAGCCATAGGGCATGGCGGTGCTGATGTGAACAACGATCATTATGATCGACAACCTGTGATTGTGATTGACACCCAACAGCTAGGCAGTGGTTTCAGTGAGGATTGAACGGCTGACCTTCTAAAAATGTAAGTTAAACCAATGCATTATCATACTGAGCTAAACCGCTGTTAAACATGTGGCAATTTCCCTCAAGTTAGGGTAACCCGCAAGCGGCTTACCCTAAGTGGAGGGAAAGCTTTATCCTAGTACTGGTTATACCAACCCCTTATCACCCAATGAACATATTTCTTGCCCCAACCAACCCTAATAGAGGCTCTAACAGGATTTTTTTTTTGCTCCCTTGCCCCAACCCTAACTGACAATAAATATATTTCTTACCCTAACCAACCCTTACAGAGCCTGTAATAGGCTTTTTTTTTGCTACCTTGCCCCAGCCATAACTGAGAAAAAATGACGTCTCTGGGGACTAACCTTTAACCCAAACCCAAACCCTAGCCTGAACCACTAACCTCCGCGCCCAGAGGGGCGCGTGTGACAATCAACCCAAAAACAAAGTCGAAAAGAGAAGTGAATTCGAAGACTGGAGAATACAACCAAGTAGCTACAGCATTTATACCCAAATCCAGTCTGAGTCATATCTACAACTAATGAGTCATAGGGCTATGTACCGCATGGAACGCTGGTCATGGGTCGTAGTAGAACCTTCTGGAGCATATGTCGCGCAGCCTCGAATCGATGAAGATAATCCCTGGAACCCCTAGTCCGGACCGTCTGATGCCGTGATCCGTGATAAGATAAGTCGTGCCAAGATAAGATAAGATCGTCGATGATAAGATGAAAAAGTGGCCGAACTATGACATTACCCCTTCTCTAGGGTCGATGTCCTCATCGACTAGGCCAATGGGTAAGAAGACGTTCTCGTAAGGGTCGAAGAGCTGTCGTTGGGGATATGGAAGGCGCTCGTCCCTGGGCTTGTAGCGATGAATGAGATAGTCCCAGTGTCCAGCTTCGAGCGTTGGCAGGAGGCGAATGCGTGTGTCTGGATTTGATTGTTTCCTCTGCCAGTCTCTCAGGACGTCCTTTGCGTGGGTAAGGTGACGTGATGGTTCCCAGGTGTTCTCGCTGTGCGGCCATCCCTTCCATTTGACCAAGTACTGTTTTCCTCGGCCGACTTTTCGCTCTTTCACGATTTCTTCGACTTCCCACTCCTCTGCTCCTCCGATCATCTTGGCCACGGGTCTCTTCTCTCGGCGATGGGGGGGTGGTTCGTGATAGGGTGTCAACAGTGACTTGTTGAACACCGGGTGTCTTCGGTCCGTGTCCGGCAAATTCAGCTTCCATGCAGCCGCTCCAACCTTCTCCAGTATCTCGTATGGCCCTAATCTCTTGTCGCTCATCTTCTTCGAAGGCCTGTCTGTCTCGATATTTTCTCCTTCTATGTATACCTTCATCCCAACCTTCAACTCCGGAACTTCTTTTCTTTGTTTATCGTAGTATTTTTTCATTTTTTCTTTTGCTTTTTCCAATGCTGCTTTTGCTTCGTCTTGTATTTCTTTGATTCTTTTCACAAATTCCTCCGCCGACTCGTTCCTTGATTCCATCCGCTGCTCCACTCCCTTCCATGGGTGATATCCGTGATTAGCATAGAACGGCGACATTTTGGTAGACGTGTTCATTTTGTCGTTGTATGCGAACTCCGCCATTCCCAGCCACTCCGACCAGTCCGTCTGATGGTAGTTGACGTAAATGCGGAGATAGTGTTCGATCTCCTGATTCATACGCTCCGTCTGCCCATCCGTGATGGGGTGATATGCGGTCCCCGGATTCATTTCCACGCCCAACATCCGATTCGTTTCCTTCATAAAGCCCTTGATGTATCGAGAGTCCCTGTCGGTGATGATTTTGCGGGGGACCCCGTGATAGCGGAAGATTCGGTCCCTGGTTAACCGTGCTACTCCTTCGCTGCTGATGTCAGTACTAATTGGTTCGACATGGATCATTTTGGTGAAGGTGTCACACCACACATGAATTGCGTCATACCCGTTACTGACCGGCAGGGGTCCGATCTGATCCATGGAGATGATTTCCCACGGCGCGTTTGGAACTGCATGCGGGTGCAAACTCCCTGTCCTGGCTCTTCTGGTCTTGGTCCGCTGGCACGCCTCGCACGTCTGGATGTATTTCCGAATTTGGTTTCCCATCCTTGGCCACCAGTAGTTCCTTTCCACCATCTCCTGCGTTCGGTTGATCCCAGCGTGTCCGACCAAAGGTGTGTCGTGGTGTAGTCCGATGATCTTGTCTCGTAGCTCCTCATTCCTCGGCACGTAGAGCTTCCCATGGTACGTGATGAGCCCATCTTCCTTTTTCCATCCGACGAGTGACTTCTCCAAGGCCGCTTTGACGCTTCCATCAATTGATCGAGTAGCCTTGATCTCATCGATTAGCTGCTGATCTTGCCCCTCGAATGTGACTTCTTGTGACCGGAAGAATTCGGGTTTCAGCAGAGTGATATCCTTGTTGTCGTTCTTGCCCTGATCGTGATCCGCTCGTCGAGATAAGAGATCCGCCTTGCGGTTGAGTGTGCCAGGCCGGTGTCGTAAGGTGAAATCAAACTCCGCCAACTCTGTGATCCATCGTGCTTGCCGTCGATTGAGCTTCTGCGGCTTCCGGAAGTACTCAAGATTCTGATGATCAGTGAAGATCTCGAACGTCTCCGTGGCTCCCAGTAGTAGCTGTCTCCATTCGTCCAATGATAGCATGATTGCAAGCATTTCCTTGTCGTAGATCTCGTAATTTCGCTCGGTTTCCGTTAATGCATGCGAAATAAATGCAATTGGGCGCCAAATGCCGTCTTGGTTTTGGCTCAAAACAGATCCTGTTGCCCCTTCCGAAGCATCGGCTTCCAGACGATATTGACCGGTGTCATTTGGCAGTGCTAAGACGGCATCCTCCGCGATTCTCTTCTTCAATTCATCAAACGCCGCATGTTCATCCGGACCCCATGACCATCCTGCCTTCCCTGTCAGCCGCGTCAACGGTTTGGCGACCTCCGCATATCCCCGAACAAAACGTCGATAGAAGTTTGTGAATCCGAGGAAGGCTTGGACTTGTTTGACGCTCTTTGGTTCTGGCCATTCCATCACGCCCTTGATCTTGACCGGGTCCATCCGCATCGAGTTGTGTCCAATGATTACACCCAGGTATTCGATTTCCGTGCGTTCGAACTCGCACTTTTCCGGCTTCAGGTATAATTTGTGCTTTTGGAGCAACTCGAGTACCCGTTTGGTGATTCGTCGATGTTCATCCAGATTTTCTGTGAAGATTAGTATGTCGTCCAGATAAACTACCACATGTCCCTCGTTGATCAGTTCCCGGAGTATGTCGTTCATCATGTTTTGGAAAGTTGCCGGGGAATTTGTGAGACCAAAGAACATAACCAAGGGCTCGTAAAGTCCGCGGTTTGTGCGAAAGGCAGCCTTCCACTCATCGCCCTCTTTGATCCGTACGTTGTTGTATCCCCACCGGACGTCTAGCTTGGTGAAGAACTTGGCGCCGCACAGATTGTGGACCAGTTCGGAAATCAGCGGTAGCGGGTACCGATTTCGGATCGTCATCTCATTCAGCTTCCGGTAATCTTGAACAGGCCGTAGCGAGCCATCCTTCTTCTTGACAAAGAAGAATGCCGATGCCATGGGTGATTTTGATGGCCTGATTCGTCCGCTGGCTAGGTTCTCTTGTAAGAACTCGTCGAGTTTGACCTGCTCGTTTCTCGATAAGGGGTACACCTTGCAGTCCACTGCTTTGGAGCCTGGTTTGAGCTCGATCGCATGATCCCATGCCCGTCGGTCCGGTAGCGAGTCGAATGATTCCTTGGCGAATACTTTGACGAATTCTCGGTACTGATCTGGAATCTTTCCCTCGGTCATTCTCTCCTTCTCCTTTTCCGCTTCTTCTGCGAATTTCTGCGCCGGCGTTTCCTTCAGCCGTAGGTCTACCTTCTTTCCAAAGTCGATCAACAAGATCGATTCCCCCTCTTCCAGATCCGGTGCACCCGCGTCCAGGTCAATTGCATCCATGTCGATCATCGCTTGGTGCTCCTCGTGACCCCTCATTTGACATTGCTCTGGGCATCGGCTGAATCTCATTGTCTGCTCCTGCCAATCCACCTCGGGGTTGTGTTCCGTCAGCCAATCCAGGCCGATGAAGATCCGGGCTTTTCCCAGACACGTCAGAAGGAACGTGCGTGTCTCCACATGAGGGCCGATTCTCATTCTCAAGTCGACGTAGTGTGTGATCCGACCGCTGATGTTCTCGGTGTTGTCGGCGTTACGAGCCACAATGGGTTGCGGAAGCTCTTGGATATCCAGCTTTTCTGCCCGTGCGTAGTCGGTGTCGATGCAGCAGGTACTGCAGCCACTATCGAGCAGCGCCTTGACTCCACGCGTTTTTCCTGAGTCCAGGCCCGTGATCTGGACATATACGTCCATCGAGTGCCTCTTTCTTTCGGCTTGGTAACTGCGCAATTCCTGCGCCAATCTGCTGGGCTGGGGGCCCTTCTGTTTCTCGGTCGCCAATTTCCTCTGGATGGCATCTGGCACCCTGGTGCGTTTGGGTGCTTCTGGAACCTCGATTTTGGCAGATTC